TTTAGGGTTAGGGCGGTTTAGGGTTTAGGGATTAGGTTGAGGGTTTCGTAGGCATCGTGGGGGAATGGGCCCTATGATCCTCCCCGAAATGCGGAGAGGCTGGGTAGGGGGCTGAGGGTGGAGGGTTGAGGCTTGTACCCTAAGCCGTAAGAGGGGCGGTTTAGGGTTTGGGGTTTAGGAAAGCCTCAAACCCTAAGCTCGAACCCCTTAAGCAGACTGAAAAGCCGCGAGGCGCGGCGAGCTACAATTTACTTCTGGACGTGTAGCTAGGCAATGCTCTGGGCACCAGGTGCCTAGCCCTATAAGTGCTAGAAATAAACCCTATATGAAGCAGGGTTTACGTTACTGTTATTTGTGAGTGTACCTAAGGCTCCGTTTTCATATTGGTGAGTGTATATACCTGGTGTCCTTTTGGGGGTACAAGAAATATATGCCCTGCTTCATATGTCAGCCCCTAGGATCCAGAAACCTTGCGAGCCTTGCAAGCTCGCAGCCCGACCTCGTAAACCCTAAACCCTAAACCCTAAACCCCCTAAACCCCCTTAAACCCCCTAAACCCCCTGAACCCCCTGAACGCCCTAAACCCCCTAAACCCCCTAAACCCCCTAAACCCCCTAAACCCCCTAAACACCCTAAACCCCCTAAACCCCCCAAACACCCTAAACCCCCTAAACCCCCTAAACACCCTACACCCCCTAGACCCCCTAGACCCCCTAAACCCCCATACCAAACTCTCGAGCTCTTCTTTTGCTCGAAGGGTGGTCACCAGCCCATTTACTCATCGGCGCGGAGTCGACCACCTGGCAAAAACGGCGGACCCTTTATACCCTCCAAATTAGGGTTTAATAGGGTTTAGGGTTTAGGGTTTAGGGTTTAGGGTTTGCAGTTTAGGGTTCAGGGTTTAGGGTTTAGGGCTCCCCAAGCCCGAAAAAAAACCTTGGGATGTTGCCCCGCATAAACCCTACAAACCTTCTATTACTTCAAAGCGGTTGGGGCTCGGGGATGAAGCTTCGGCGAGGGTTTCGGTTTCTCAAGGGTTTCATGTTCAGGGTTTTGGTCTCGATCAGACTGGCCTACGTCTGTCTTCACTGAAGTGAGGAAGGCCTTTGCCTGTAGGTGAAGCGATTCAGGTTGAAGGGTCAGGGCTTAGGGTTCAGGGCATCGGGTTTCCATGGGTTTTGTGTACGGCATAGGGGGTTAGGGTTTAGGGTTTAGGCGTAGGGTTTCAGGGTCAAAACTTGTGGTTCAAGGGCTCGTGGTTCAGGGTTTACTGGTGATGTCTAGAGTCGGGAAACCGTCGGGGCATGGTGCAAGCCGTATTTTTGTTTTCTTCGCTGATGAGGCAGACTTTGCTTGGACGGGTGCTGGTTGAAGAGAGCGGTGGCATCGACTCGAAAGGTAGTACTGCATGTTCACACATCTTCATCCTGTTTGCCAGATTCCGCAACCAAAGGCTAAGACTGGCTAAGACTTGTGTTGAAGTAGCGTGCAGCTCTGCCAAGGCATCGGCAAATCCAAGGAGACAGTGTTCGCAGTGGAACGCAGGATAGCTGAGTCGCAGGATGGCCTGGTAATTTGGCTGGATTCAACATAAACCTTAAACCCCGAACCCCGAACCCTAAACGCTAAGCCCTAAACCTTCTAAACCCCCAAACCCTGGGCGTGGAAGAAGCCCAGGGTGCAAAGCAATTCAGGCACAGTCGCTAGTAGGGCAAGGTTTTTGGCAATGTCGTACAGTAAAGTCTGGGATGGTCTTAGCCGCCGTATCTTGAGGGCTCCCGAAAAACACAATCCATTCTTTGAGACCCTATCACTATATATATATATATACACATATATATATGTATATATATATACACTTATGATATGCTATGATATGCTCAAGTTAAGGGAACTTTGCAAAAGCTTGGCGTTCTTTGGTTCTTGGGGCGTCGGGTGCTCAACATTGCCTCCTCTGTCACAAAAAACACACCGGCAAGGCGCACGAAATGGCAGCTCCCTGAGGCAAAGCGCCAGACTACGAGAGAGTCCCAGATCGCCAGTTGCTACCCAGGAAGCCCCATAATTCAGCCCCACACGCGCCAGAAGTCCTAAACCCTAAACCCTAAACCCCAAACCCCAAACCCCAAACCCCAAACCCTAAACCCTAAACCCCAAACCCCAAACCCCAAACCCTAAACCCTAAACCATCCCAGGGCTGCCCCAGCCGTAAAGCCCCAAAACCCTCAAAACCTTGACCCTGAAGAACAGCTCTTGGAAGGCTCTTCAACTTTTGAGGGCTTCCATGGGCTTTAGTAAAGTTAGGGTTTAGGGTTTAGGGTTTAGGTTTAGGGTTTAGGGTTTAGGGTTTAGGGTTTGGGTTTAGGGTTTAGGGTTTAGGGTTTAGGGTTTAGGGTTTAGGGTTTAGGGTTTAGGGTTTAGGGTTTAGGATTAGGGTTTAGGGTTTTGGTTTAGGGTTTAGGGTTTAGGGTTTAGGGTTTAGGGTTTAGGGTTTAGGGTTTAGGGTTTAGGGTTTAGGGTTTAGGATTTAGGGGTTTAGGGTTTAGGGTTTAGGGTTTAGGGTTTAGGGTTTAGGGTTTAGGGTTTAGGGTGAACCCCCTAAACATTCAAAAGCCGTAATTTTCGGGATCTAGTTCCGCCCCAAAATGTCGGGAGCTGCATCAAAAATCTGCGCCCTGGCCCTCTTAGAGGGGCTTGGCGCTCTACATTCACGCCCTTCTAGAGCAACACACATGCGCTGCAAACCACACGTCCTAACCCTAAACCCTAAACCCTAGACCCTAGACCCTAGACCCTAAACCCTAAACCCTAAACCCTAAACCCTAAATCCTAAACCCTAAACCCTATCTCCGCGTCTAAGCAGCGTACGACTATTTGCGCCCAAAGCTACAGCTCTGGGGGTTGGACCCTTCTGGGACCAAGAACTCTGTTCCGAAAGGTGCTCAGGTAACCCTAGGAAAAGAAAGGGAGCTGAATAAAGAACACCCCAAACCCTAAACCCTAAACCCTAAACCCTGAACCCTAAACCCGAAACCCTAAACCCTAAACCCCAAACCCTAAACAACCCTTACCAGCACCTCCCAACTACCCTCGGTCAAGCTCGAAGAGGCACCGCCCGTTCGTTGATATTACAGTTTACCTGGGTTTAGGGATTAGGGTTTAGGGTTCAGGGTTTAGGGTTGTACAGACTTGTTTTGGCCCTGTATTGATAACAAGCAAGTACCTTGTAGGGTCAAGGTTCGCCAGTTGTCTACATGTTTCGGAGGGCATATGAGTTTTGTTGGCTTTAGGCAGCCCCAAACACCTAAACTGCTGTTTAGGGTTTAGGGTTTCGGGTTTAGGGTTGCTTGGGTCGTCTTCAAGGTTGCAGGCACACAGGCGCCCAAGCACCTAGAACTTGAACACCTAATTCTGCAGATGCGGCAGGCAGCATCACGTCGGGTGGAGAAGGGCTCGAAGGATTAGGATTGGGCTTGTCTTCCTTCAGCCTCAAAATGTGGCTCCTTTTCTGGGATACCGAATCTTAGTGTGATCTCCCACGACGAAACATCGGCACCCAAACAACCTACAACTGGAGGTCTGGGTTGGCAGGGCTGAATGGGATGATGTGGTAGGGCTTTGAGGGTTAAGAGCTTAAGATTTCAACCATGAATGCATGCAACCAAGTGTGACTGAAGCCCCGAATTGGGGTTTACCAACATACGGAACCGCGAATATATGCCAACCAAATAGTAGCTTAGTTTGGGAAACCTCCAATTTTTTAGGGGAATGAGATTACGGCTTCCTTCTCGGGGTCCCTCCTTATACCCCTTCACAAAGGCCAAAAAAAAAAAATCACCCCAAGAGCTTACCCAGACTCAGGGCCGCTTCTAGGGGTCCCTCCCTCCCTACCCCTTAACAAGGGCAAAAACCGAATACCCTAAACCCTAAACCCTAAACCCTAAACCCTAAACCCTAAACCCTAAACCCTAAACCCTAAACCCACACGAGGTCGTAAGGTTTTGGGTTTACAAGGGGCAGCTTTCAGCTCTGCTCATTGAGGTTGGTCTACGGCTAGGCTAGGGCTCCTGGATTTTCTAGTGGGTGTAGGGTTTAGGGTCTAGGGTTGCGGGTTTAGGGTTTAGACACACCGGCACCAAAACCTAAGCCCTGACAAGTTACGAAATTCCCGACGTGAGCCACCTTTCCAACGACAAGGTGACACCATGGCGACGATCGTGCAGGGCCAGCAAGGTACACAATGCTGGCGCAACGGAGAGCCATTGAGGCTGAGGGCATGAGCCTCGAAGGCATGACTTCCAAACTCCTTCACCAGTATGGCTATACGTGAGTACGTGCATATATATATATATATATATTTATGTAAATTAATAAATAAATCATATATATATATATACATACATTATTTGTTTAGTATTACTTCTAAAACAATTTATTTACTTATCTATTTATGTAGACAATTTGAGAAACACATCTACTCTTCATGGCAACGACCACTATTCGTATGGACATACGTGCATCTACCAATTCTGGGGACGTGCTGGCGGAGCCCCTTTGGAAAATATCAACTGAATATTAAATATGCGTATAAATATCAATATAAATATGCACATATATATATATATATATATATATATATGTGTGTCTGTGTGTGTGTGTTATTTGTATATAGTTTATGCTACTGCAACCATAGATAAAACGAATTCTCCTCCCCCCCCCCCCCTTCCTTGCAAAAAAAGGTAACTGCAATCAAGACCCGTACACCAGCAACCCTAATTTGATGCTCCAACGGTCCGTCCTCCAGGATCCCTTTTGATCCTCTCCCACAGAGCAGAAGCTTCCATGAACACGCCAGCGCCAACTCGAAAGATTTAGGGTTCAGAATGGATTAGGGGTTGCCCTAAAACCATAACCCTTCAGGTTTAGTGTCGAAGACTCAACCCTTTGGGCAGATACTGCAGACTCGACCCTCAACCCCAAGCCTCCCCGCACTTGAGAACCTATACTTGCCCTAGCAAAGGCTCGCTCACTGCGGTGCTTTCGACTCTCTGCTGGCCTGAAGGGTGCTAGGCTGGGCATGGTTCAGGGGGTTTAGGGTTTAGGGTTTAGGGTTTAGGGTTTAGGGTTTAGGGTTTAGGTTTAGGGTTTAGGGTTTAGGGCTCAGGCTCTACGATTTCGGGTGTAGGGGTGAGGGTCTGTAGACTCAAGACTATGAAAAGAGTCCTAAGCCCTACACCCTCTACATGCTACCTCCATACACCCACGACCGCTCACCATAACTTCTGGTCCTGTCTCTTTATCACAGCAAGGCTTCTCCAGTGTCTGTCTTTGACCCTGCGGAGATGTGCACGTGCTGAATGCTAGGTTTAGGGTGTAGGGTTCCCACAGCGCACGGTCACGAGTAGGATCAAGGTTTTTAAGCTCATTCATGATATAAGTAGGACTGGTGAAGATTCCAGTCATGAATTCATCGCGCATTTCTCGTACGCTTTTGAGGCTTTAAGAAGTGCGAACTTCCTTTTTGGCTTTGGGGCCCAAAGCTGAGCATGGGTTTTTATCATTCCTGTAACTTCTGTGTTTCGTGCTGGGTGCTGCGATTAACTATTTGAGGCTTTGTTCTTAGGCTTAGTTTCCTCAACCCTAAACCCGACCAGGGCAGATTCCAGAACTAAGTTCCTGATCCCGCAAACCAACCAGGGCATATTCCAGAATTAAAAAGGGCCCTCAAGGGTCTCGGGTTTGGGTGGAGGCTGCCCTTGCAACCGAGCAAGACGATGCACTCAGAAGTCAGGGAAGAGTCGCTTCGGTTTCAGGGTTGGGGGTTTAGGGGTTTAGGGTTCAGGGTTCAGGGTTTAGGACTTAGGGTTCAGATCCTGAGTCCTCAGCCTCGAATGCTAGAACCTCAAGAGTATTCTTCCGTCCCACCGGGTTTCGAATGTCCTTCTGCCATTCACCAACACCTACACGTAGGGACCCCAAAAGGCAGTGCCGTTCAGCATCCAGGTAGACCGGGCTTTCCCTAAACCCCAAAAAACCTCAAAGACATAATATGAGCCCAGAGACCCTCAACCCTAGACCCTAGACCCTAAACCTTATAAACCCTGAACCCTAAACCCTAAACCCACAAGCCCGGAAATCCAGAAGATCTGAAGCCTCTGGAACCTACAGTAGCACCAAGCCCACTCTTAAGAAACCCTAAGCCCAACGAACGCTTTTGCGGCTCCTCTTCTTCTGAGGCCTGCACGTAAAGCCCGGAGAACGGACACGTGACCCCGGCTGGCCTGAAAAACTTAGGGTCTAGGGTTTGGGGTTTGGGGTTTAGGGTTTAAGGTTAGGGTTTAGGGTTTGGCGTTTAGGGTTTGGGGTTTAGGGTTTAGGGTTTCGGCTTGAGGGCTTGCAGATCCTCAGGGTCGGGTGCAGGGTTTAGGGTTTGGGGTTTAGGGTTCAGGGTTCAGGGTTCAGGGTTCAGGGTTTAGGGTTTAGGGTTTAGGGGTTTAGGGTTTGGGGTTTAGGGATTATAGGCTGACAGGTTATGGTTTCGGGTTTCAGGCCGAAGCCACCAACCGCGCGATTGGCCATGAGGCTGAAGACCGATGCGTACACCAACAGCATGACAGCTTGGCATGTCTGGGAACTGAAATATGGCATGGTGCTTTTTGGGAACCTTGATTCAGAACAACGACCCAGAACCCAGAACCCTAAACCCTAAACCCTAAACCCAAACCCTAAACCCTCACTCCAGAACAACCAGCTGTAAGTGTTCCATTTGCTCTTGCCGAAGTGCCGCGAGGCGGAGCGCGGTGGCCTCGGCAGACGGAGCTGAGGTCGCCGAAAGCAAAGTGCGGGTTTGGGTTCAGGGTTTAGGGTTTAGGGTTTAGGGTTTAGGGTTTAGGGTTTAGGGTTTAGGGTTTAGGGTTTAGGGTTTAGGGTTTAGGGTTTAGGGTTTAGGGTTTAGGGTTCAGGGTTCAGGGCTTAGGGTTGAGGGTTGAGGGTTTATGGTTGCAAGATATTTGGGGCGGCAAGGGGGGTGGGGGGGGCGGAGGGGGGGAGGGGGGGGGGCAGGATCAGGGGTTATCAGGGGGAAGGGCCGTTGAAATGTAGGGTTCAAAGCTGAGGGCTTCTTGTAGTGGCAGAGTTACCATTAGGCTTGTTTCTTTGGAGTCGGAAGTAGGCATATATGCATATATAGAGGTTAGAGACTATAGGTTTACATGCTATAGAACAGTTATTGGTTGCTTCAGGCTCTGGAAGATCGACTAGATATGTATATATAGATATAGACATATACGAGATTATGTCAGAGAGGTCTGCCTCAGTTGCTTGCAGCTGGGTCCTAACCAGAGAGGCTTGCTAAGGACTGGGGTCGTGCGTTTGTCTGTAGCTGTTTTGTGTCTTTTGTTGCGTTTGGTTGCGACTGCTGTATATACCCTAAACCCTAAACCCTAAGGCATCAGGCCGTTGAGAAGTCAACGTGCCGAGGAGGCTAACAGCTGCGCGGCACAAGCCGCGAAGTGTCTAGGGCTTTACTAGCCCAAAGGGTTTAGGGTCTAGGGTTCAGGGTTCAGGGTTTAGGGTTGAGTCAAAGTGGGCCCAAGCTTTAGCGCATTCAGGGACTTAGGGTGGCAAATCAAGACCGTTCGCCCTACCTAGAACCCGATCTTGACACCACAGCCCAATACCCCTGAACTAGGGCATATATACCTTGATTGATGTAGGATTCCTTAATAAGATTTAAGGTAAATTCCTTAATTAAGGGGTGTTGGTTGAGATGTTCCCCCTTGTACTAACAGTCCTGAATGGCGATTCTAATGGGGGGCACTAGAATCCCTAGAAAGCACTGTTTGTATAAGGGGGGAAAATCCCAAGGTATTGGGCTCTTCGGGTACTTTGCGTGATCCCGCCTGCTGGGGCCCGGCAGTGAGTGCTGAATCAGCGCCCGCCTCACGGCCACGTCTTTCAACGGTGCAGGGCTCGGCGCGGAGGGATTTGAGCTTGTAGAAACAGGAGATGAATACCATCAAAAGTAAGATTATTTTGAGAAAAGGAGACGAACACCAAGAGATGCACAGAATTTTCGTTTGAAAAAAGAAGACGAATACCATCAGAAGTAAAGTACATCTTTTATTGCCGTGATTGTAACCAGAGGGAATTAGGGTTGAAGACAAAGATGCAGTTCCTGCTTGGTATGGCTGTGGCATTGCTTCTGGTGAGTATCCTAGTTGCTGAGTACCCTGGGCCAAAAACGGTTAACGTTTGAATTCTGGTAGGATAATAAATAAAAAAATAGAGATATATATATATACCCCAACAAGTGAAAGGTTACCTACTCAGCTGCTAAGGTGTTTCAATGCCACCCAAGACGGAGCTTCTTTTTTGGGCATGGGTGGCGGGGGGGGGGGGGGGGGGGGGGGGGGTAGAGATTTCGGGGCTCAGGGTTTTGGGACCCGTTCACGCTTTCGCAAACACCTTATATAAAGTCTAGGCGTTCAAAATATAATAGTGGTAGAGAACTGAACCCCGTAATCTCCAAAGATTCACCCCCACAAAAGGCAAGTACGCGGGGTGAGGGATTAGGATTTCGGGTCTACTACTATTTGTAAGAACTCCCCCAAACAAAAACAAATAATCCCTATATCACCCTTATAATAAGGAAGAATCTTTTCATTTTTGTGCGGGGCTCTTAAGCAATTCGTAGCTTAGGGTTTAGGGTCTGGGACTGCATCGATTAGGGTCTTGAGGGGCTTCTCAAAATTATGGTCCCCTTTTTTGGGGGGGTTCCTAGTCTATGGCGGCCGCTGGTATTTAGGGGCCATCATTTCAAGAACTGACCACCCGAAGCCCCAAACACTGAACCCTGAACCCTAAGCCCTAAACCCTGAACCCTAAACCCTAAACCCTAAACCCTAAACCCATATGCTTCAGAGAGTGGCCTCAACCAACAGGGCCACGATGTCGTCGTTACCTGCTGGCAGAAAATATTTTTCCGCACACTTTGGGGTTGCTTTGTCTTTCTCTACTTGGAGGTTCATGGGTGCATGTATGTAGTGTGAAAAGTAGGGTAACTATGGGTACTACCTTACTTAGGGTACTTAGAACCCACACTAATAAGTACCCATGAACCTTCAACTAGTTTTTTTCAGCACAAGTTTGTTTGGGCTTCAGGGTTTAGGGTGACGGTTTAAGGGGGTCTACCTCGCCTACACCTCCTAAAAGCCAAGAATGAAGGTGTCTGCATCCCTTTAGAAGGGCACGTACGTTAGTCTAGGTAGGTCAGAGGACTAGAGGAGGGACCCTTACAAGGGACCTTCGCAGAATTGTAAGGGCTACTTAGGTATTTAGGGGCCATAGAAGGTGGGTCCCGTCCAGGGGGTGTAGCGAAGCCTAAACTGAACACTGGAGCCGTTGAGGCCGAATTCCGACGTTCCGGACGCTGAGGTCTAGAAGCTGTGGCAGAATCTCGTTGCGTTGTTTTGGGAATTGGGGTTTTATAGGCTTTAAGGCTTCAGGGATTTAGGGTTGAAAGTTTAGGGTGTACTCAGATAGGCCATGCTTAGGGATCAGGAGTATATAGTTGGGCCTTGAAGGGTTCCTACCAAGTGCCAAAGTATATGCGAAAACAAAGGCACAGGTACATGCACCCTAGTTCCAGTCTTACATCTGCATGCTTTCTTGAGTACAGTCTCTGTGCAGGCTTTTTCCAGACCTCACAAACCCGAGTTGTGCTATACAGAAGAAACGAACGATGCGGTGCACCAGGAAGATGGTGGGGCACATGTGCCGTGTAGCTGGTTTGACGGCTCGACCCAAAACGCTGAACCGGAAAACCTGGAAAGAAACCTCAACCACAGAGCGAGAGCTGGAGTTTTGGGGCTTGGGGTTGAGAACATTCCTCATCAACGTGCGGCAGCCGTGGTTTCTGCAGAACATGAGGTTCAGGGTACCTGTGAACCCACCAGTATTGTTGCTTAGGGCTCCTTCCTAATTCCTAATAGGGAGCTAACGAACCTTCAGCCCCCTTTATACAACCCTATCAGGGGCTGTGTAACTAAACCCTAAACCCTAAACCCTAAACCCTAAACCCTAAACCCTAGAGAGGCTTTGAACCCTGAGACCTGACCTCCCAATCACTCCCGATGCCGTTTAGGGCATACAGGGTGGGGTCCCTAGTTATAAGTAGAGTTATAAGGGCCCTAAATTGGGTTATAAGGACCCTAAGTTAGGTTATAAGTCCCTTAACTACAGTTAGTATAGTAAGGGGGCCCCACCCTGTAGGGTTTCGGGTTTAGGGTTTATATAGAGATGGCTTTGGGTGAGTCTATTGCTGGGGGATTGGGGTAAGGTTCGTTTTGGGGTCTTTAAGGGTTGTGATCTGTGAGCTGCCTGCAACAGCTGCCAGGTGCAGTGGGGTGGCCTCAGCTCAAGGGAGCTAGAGCTTAGGGCTTAGGGCTTAGGGCTTAGGGCTTAGGGCTTAGGGCTAGGGCTTAGGGCTTAGGGCTTAGGGCTTAGGGCTTAGGGCTTAGGGCTTAGGGCTTTAGGGCGTAGGGTTTAAGGGTTTATAGGGTTTATAGGGTTTATAGGGTTTATAGGGTTTGTAGGGTTGATAGGGTTAAGAGGGTTTATAGGGTTTATAGGGTTGATAGGGTTAAGAGGGTTTATAGGTTTTACATTATGGTTTATAGGGTTCAATACAGGGTTAGGGTTTATACGGTTTCGGGCAACCTCTTAATTTGTAGGGTTTGGGAGTCACAGGTAGGGTTGGAGGTCCCTCAGGCAGTCTCAGGCCGTTGCACCATCTGCGGCTGCGATGTCCACCTGCAAGGAGGCCCCGCAACCCCTTGCTGCAACCCCAAACCGGTTTAGGGTTTATGTTGTCACTTCTCTGAATCCTAACCCCTGAACTATGATCCTTCTGAGCTTCGGATTTCAATCGTAATGTGGAGACAAAGAATCGGGCACACAGCGACCAACGTTCAGAACTGCGTCCTCTTTCCTGTTTGAGACATTATCATGCTAGGGGCCCGTAGTGCTGCAAGCAAATCTCGGGCTTTGGCTTTGAACCCGGTAACCCTAAACGCTGACTGAAGCATCCGAGGTCTAATACTGATGAACCCTAACACACCTAAAGCCTGAACATCCCCAAAGCTCATCCCAAACGGGACTAAAGCAATCGAGTTCCCTCTAAACATGCTGGGTGAGCAATCCAACAAAAAGTTAAGATCCGGGTCTTTACTGTGGTTTGGGGTCTAACTTCGAACAAGCTAAAGGTTCCCTACACAGCACCCAACAAGGACTGGTAAGTAGGTACTTGGGCCAGGCACCCAAGAAGCCCGAGCCCCAAGCCCCAAGCCCCAAGCCCCAAGCCCCAAGCCCCAAGCCCCAAGCCCCAAGCCCTAAGCCCCAAGCCCCAAGCCCCAAGCCCCAAGCCCCAAACCCTAGGTACGGAGGGTTGTTTCTTATTTGCGGGCCTGCTTGGTTGCTTCTTGGATCGAACCACGGTGCTTCACTTCTGGGGGGGGGGGTGGGGGTGGGTGAGTAGTCAGATTTGAGGGCTTAGGGTTTAGGGTTTAGGGTTTAGGGGGGTATACGGTTTAGGGTTCAGGGTTGCCTCATGAAGTATGAAGGACTCCGCCCATTTTGGAGCAACTTTGGGCTGATTGTCTGTTGACTCCCGGGAAGATGCTCCTTCGCGCCTCCGCGCGCGCGGCCAGCAGCACAGCAACAACCGAGGTGTGCCCTGAGGAGCTTCGAGTTCGGGTTTACTTGGGACCCCTAAAATAGATCCCCCCCCCCCCCCCCCCCCCCACCAAACAGTAGGATTTCCTGTAAAACGGACCCCCCCAAACAGCAGGATTTCCACAAAAAACGGATCCCAACAAGGTGACCCTAATTTCGGAAACCCGCACTTGGAGGTCCCCTGAGGGGCTTGGAGTTCGGGTTTACTATAGGGGCCTTAATCATTAGAAAAGGTTTTTATTTATTATTTTTTTGGGGGTGGTATTCTAGTATAGTCACAAAGGGGCCATAAGGGAATATGATTAGTAATTGTTCCGATCCCTATAGTACTTGGAGGTTCACAGGTAGCTATAAGTACTGTAGGGGTATAACTATGGTATTTAGACTTATATAACCGAATTTAGGGCACCTTATAAGCTTACTTGTACCAATGAACCTCCAAGTACCCGAAGAGCCCAATACCCCTTAACTAAGGAATATACCTTAAATCATATTAGGGATTCCTAAATCACTCAAGGTGTATTCCTGACTTAAGGGGTATTGGGCTCCTTGGGAGGCTTTACAGGGTTCAACAGGGCAATCTCTCAATGAAGCCGGGAAGCAAGCAGTGACTTGAGAGCCTCACCGCAGTCTCAGGTTTAGGGTTCAGGGTTTAGGGGTTTATCAGGAAGTGGGCCTAGAGGGTTTAAGGTATGCTCCATGACTCTTCGGGTAGTTGCATGGTTCCTTAGTATGGGCCCTGAAAAGGGGAGCCCGTATATGCCCCCTTATATACCCTATACAACCCAAAGGCCCATACATCAGAACCCTTTAAAGAGGGGAAAGGACGATGTTGATGAAACTACTCATACAGAGTTTGATCAGGAATTCGGCATTAGGTAAGCCCCCATGACACTGGACCAAGACAGCTAGAAGGCCTTAAAGATTTCATGATGGGCGGTCAAGTTCAACTGGCCCGTCGCAAGAAGGGCCGCCCAAACAGCTTGCGGTATGACGGAAAGCCTACCCGCGATTTCAGGCGGATGGTCCCTTTTTCGGGACTATCTTAGACATCCTAAACCTAAGCCCGGAAATCACACCCCAAACCCTGCCCAAAACCATAAACCCTAACTAAACCTAAACCCTAAACCTTACACCCTAAGCCCTCAACCCCTGGTGCGGTCATTTGTGCGCAGAGAAGGCCATGCCTTCGAAGGCCGCGTCGTGCAAGGCAGCAAAGCCGGCATCTGTGGCAAAAAACACACAAAAAGCTACCGAGGCCTCTTTTTGTTCATTCAACTGGGTTCTTTTTGGTATGGGTAATTATTAATACTATTGTTATATTATACACATATATGTATATATACATTTTTTAATTATTTCTGTTTATATTTTATATTATATTATATGTATATATGTGTGTTTTTTTTCGGATGGGAGGGGGGGGAGGGGGGGTTAGGGATTAGGGTTTAAACGGCCGTGGGGAGTTTAGGGACTGGTTGCAGGGCATTGTAGGGTTTCAACTGAGTCCTTTACCAAGACCCAACAAAATGGGTACCCCGCTTAAACGGGAAACTAGAACCTAAACCTAGACCTAAACCTTAAGACCCTGAACCCGAGCAAAGCATCAGGGTCTGTAAAATCTGCATAAGGCTCTTCTGTACTGGTGACTGATGCACAGGATAGGGATTCAGCGGGGTTCAGAGTTCAGGGCTAGGGGTTTCAGGTTCAAACCCGAAACCCTAAACCCTAAACCTTAAAACCCTAAACCCTACACCCTAAACCCTAGTTCAGGGTGTAGGGTTTAGCTTCGCACCCACGGGGTTGAGAACTTCCGGTTTCCCCACACTCCTAAAACCCAAAACTCCTGAGCCCTAAGACCCTGAACCCTAAAGCTCTAAACTGCGAGACCTCGAAGCAGAAGTCAAAAAAAAACGCACGTGCACACGCACACAAAACCGTAAATCCTAAACATTAAACCCTCCTCCCTCCTAAACCCTCCTCCCTCCTAAGCCCTAACCCTAAACCCTAAACCCTAAACCCTAAACCGGTGCCTGATGCATCTGGACCGACTCCAGACCCAAGCAGCTGCCGCACGACCTGCCCGAGGGAGTTGCTGCTGATCTTGTGTGCCGGAGTTGTGGGGGTTTAGGGTTTAGGGTTTAGGGTTTAGGGTTTAGGGTTTAGGGCTTAGGGTTTAGGGTTTAGGATTTAGGGTTTAGGGTTTAGGGTTTAGCTACCAGTATTTATTGCGACCCCTATATGACATAAGCGGGGCCGCCTTAGAATAAGGACCCCCAAAGGGAGCACATCTTAGAGAAGTGACCAGAACGGGGTTTGGGGGCAAGGCTTAGCGTTTAAGGGTTTAGGGTTTAGGGTTTAGGGTTCAGGGTTCAGGGCTCCTCTGCACAACCGGAATCTCACCACTAAGCTAACCTCACAAGTACACGATGTGGTTTAAGCCACCCGAAGATCTAAACCCTAAACCCTAAACCGTAAACCGTAAACCCTAAAACCCTAAAACCCTCAACTCGAGGCCCCCATAAAAGCTATCTAATGCGATCTGTGTCTAACTACTTCCATGGTTTAGGGTTTTAGGGTTTAGGGTTTATGGTGGACCCTTCGGGTTTGCCTGGGCTCTACACACGCACAACAAGAAAACCTTACGGAGAGCTTTGATCATTGCGCTTCCCAGCCTTCACCCCGAATCCCAACCCCTAAACCCTAAACTCTAACCTCAAAACCCGAAACCCTGAACCAAACCCCCTAAACCCTAAACCCTGCACCAAACCCTAGAGGTCTGAACAAACCTTTTTCCACTAGAAATCGAAGATGCAATCCGCGCCCATGGAGCCATGTCACGACCAAAACCACAAACCAAACATAGGGGGGCGTGGCAGGGATTAATAAGGTTTAGGGTTTAGGGTTTAGGGTTTAGGGTAATTATGTAGGCTCCTGTATTTCGCCCTCCCCTGCCCCACAAACCCCGAAACCCGCAGCCCTCAGTCGTACCCAAGAGCTGAGCAGGACGAACAACGCCCTAAACCCTAAACCCTTAAACCCCTAAACCCTAGAAACCCTAAACCCTGGCTGGATCGATCCACAATACAGTGAGTTAACCTCGGTTAAAACAAGCTTTGGGCTGAAGGGTAGCTTAACACCACAACACATGACCTCAAGGCCTTGAATCCTGCCCTGGGGCTTTAGGGGGTTGAGGCTTTAGGGTTTTGGCGTTTAAGGTTTAGGGTTTAAGATTGTTGGGCTTTAGGGTTTAGGAGTTTAGGGGGTTTAGGGTTTCGGGTCTAGAGTCTAGCGGGTTCCGGGTTTAGGGTTTAGGTCTAGCCCCCTCAACACCCCCAAAGCACCGGGCCTCGGCATGCCCGAAGCGGGCGGCAGTCGTCAGGGACGTACCGTCCCCCTGCGCCTTCACAATGGCCCGGAGAGGCCAACAAACCCTCAAGGGGTTAGGGTTTAGAGCTTAGAGTTTAGGATTTAGGGGGATTTTAGGGTTTTAGAGCCTTACTTCATATCGGGCCCTGCTTGTCGGGCGTCCGGCATTCTGCCTGCAGTTGAGAGTGCGGAATCTGTAAGGGCCTCCATACTCGGCACCATTCCTAACTTGAGACCCCAGAGCCTGCAACCAGCATGGAACCCCTAAACCCTAAACACTAAAACCCCAAAAGAGCCACTGCTAGTCACACTAAACTACTTCCTGAGATGTCTCATCGACAGGGGCTCCAGCCAGCCTTCCTTAGACCCTAAACCCTACAAACCCTGTAACCCTGAACACTATAGCCATACTATAACCCTGAAACCCTCAAACCCTAGAACCCTATAACCCTTAACCCTATAACCCCATAACGCTTAACCCTAAACCCTGAAACCCTGAAACTGGGAACCCACAACGTCGAGAAAAATGCCGTGCCAGCGAGCACGAGAAACCCGGGACTCCGCCGTTGCCTTGAATTTCAGGGTTTAGGGTTTAGGTTACAGGGTTTAGGGTTTAGGGTTTAGGGCTTCTAGGGTCTATAGGGTGTAGGGGCTTGGGGTAGCTTAGGGTCCAGAGCAACGGGAGTGACTGGATCCCCTGTGAGATACCCCAAAACAAGGTCGAGGCTTCAGGATTCAGGGTGCACCTACATTTTAGGACGCCAATAAACAGACCGAAATAATTTGGGGACGGGCGTCCTTTATTTCGGAAAAGGCCCTATGTAGCGAAAGCAGCGTCAGAAATCACTTGGCGCCTTGGAAGCCAAGAGGAGCGACACGACTTCGGTCTCGCCATGCCTGCTGGGGGGACATCACCCGAACCCCAAACCCCAAACCCCAAACCCTAAACCCTAACCCTAAACCCTAAACCCTAAACCCTAAACCCTAAACCCTAAACCCTAAACCCTAAACCCTAAACCCTAAACCCTAAACCCTAACCCTAAACAGAGTAGACAGGTGAGAAGTTCTGAAGTCGATTCTGGGTTAGGGTCGAAGAGTTACAAAGTTTAGGGTTTGGGGCTTTGGGTCTTAGGGCTTAGGGTTGAGGGTTTTGGGTTTGGGGACAACTGGTGTGGTGGGCAGCGTAGGCCACTCGTGCTGCTAGGATGACGGTAGATCATGCAAATAGTTTGAACCAAGATATGGCTCAAACAAACTCCCCTGCTTCCTGAACACGCCTTACATTGTTTGAGCTATTGCTGCCATGGTATTGCCCAAGTGTCAAAAGACATTTTACATAAAGGAAACCATTCTTCCAGTACTGAGGGCTTAGTTGAATACATTGGAAAGGTGCTGCTCATGGTTGTATTACTAGTATTGTTTCGCGTCCTCGTTTTGCTCACTCTGTGCAAGTATCCCCCTCTGTATGTACTCACCACTTGTGTTACTCATACCCTAAACCCTCTAAACCCTAAACCCTAAACATCGACCTTCAGCCATTTTGGGCTATATACAATCCTACCATAGTTGAAAGGTTGAGCTATTTGGGCCAGGGTACTCAGCGGCTAGGTTTAGAGACTAGTGCTTGGGGTACCTGGACCCTGATAGAGAATACTCATCATAGGATCCCCTAGTTTTTTAAGAGCCAAGTACTTTGGGTACCTGGATCCTTACTAGGGAATCTTCAGCCCAAGAATTGAAGAATCATGGCGGTCTGAACTCAACTCTTACCGCTAGGGCCCAAGTTTGTGCTACATGTAGGTACATGGTCCTTACGGATTTGAGCTATTGCCAACGTTACATGCCATATCCCACAGGCTGAGCAGTCCAGGGGCAAAAGACTCTACCTTTGGGTTAAAATACTGACTGGGCGCCGAAGGTAAAGAGAACGGCTGTCGTGTCCTTGCGCTTGCCAATCTTAGCCCCTCGCAAGCTCCCAATTTCTTTGATCTAAGCTAGAACAACCAGTTCTGGTTACCCGGAACCCTAAACCCTAAACCCTAAACCCCAAACCCCAAACCCTAAACCCTAAACCCCAAACCCATTCTTTTAACACTCTGAACAGCCTGGGCCCTACTGAAGTGGGCCCCTGGATCTTGCTCAAAAGTTAGAGCCTCACCCTCCAAACCTAAACTATACTCCCCCTGCAACCTTATTGACACATTGTGTTTACTGCCCCTCTTGGGCTTTTACATAAACAATCCTAAGAGGGCTACAGGAAACCCTAAGCCTTGAACCCTTGACCCTAGACCCCAAACCCCAAACCCTAAACCCCAGACCTCGAACCCTAAACCCCAAAGTCCAGAGTCCAGTGCTGTCGGAGGTGCTGCGCAGCAGCGTGGAGCGGGTCTAGCCCTGCTCACACAACGTGGGCTTAGGGTTTAGGGTTTAGGGTTTTGGGTGGGTCTGGGGTGTAGCGTGTTGCGTTGTAAGGTTTAGGGTTCAGAACAGGGTTTCGGGGTTAGGGTTTCAGGGTTCAAAATAGAGTTCAGAGATCCGAATTGGTTTGAGGGTTTAAGGGTTCAGGGTTTCAGGGTTTACGGTTAAATTAACCCCACTGCCGCAAAACGAGCCCCAGTCGTTAGTTATGTTCTGCATCGATACAGGCCCTTCTTTTGTTTTGCGTGCGGTTTAGGGTTTAGGGTTCAGTGTTTAGGGTATTTAGGGCGAAATGGGTTTATAGGGTTTATGCCATGTACCTGTATGCCTGCAGGCTCTAGCAATTCCCACGCCACCACCTCTAGACCCCCCGAAGCATTCATCAGTAGGCTCTGGAGGCAGGGTTTAGGGTTTAGGGTTTAGGGTTTAGGGTTTAGGGTTTAGGGTTTAGGGTTTAGGGTTTAGGGTTTAGGGTTTAGGGTTTAGGGTTTAGGGTTTAGGGTTTAGGGTTTAGGGTTTAGGGTTTAGGGTTTAGGGTTTAGGGTTTCTGTGGCTAAAGGCTCTGGAACGCCCGGATGATGAGCACTCTCGAGCCCCTGTAGGATTTCGGCAACTCTGTGGTCGTCAAAGGTTGAGATTCTCATAGGGTTCTTAAGGGACGGGGCTTCATGGCAGAAATTTCGGGAAGCTTAGGGAGCCTTAGGGAGCAGTGGGAGTTGTGTGGGAAACCCTGGGTTACATACCCCCCCGTGAAGCCCCCTCCCTTATGGACCCAATAAGATTGAAACTTCACCATCCTGTTGCAGAATACCTCTAGGCTTGCCCAGCTTGCCCTGCACCCGAAACCTTACAACCTGACAAGCCAAAATGGATCTGGCTAAATCCACGAAACAAAAGATAAGCCAAAAGGAAGAAATAAAACTGGTCCCTAAATCCCTAAACCCACAAGCCAGGAAAAAAACTAACCCGAAATCCCTCGACCCATAAATGCCTGGACCCCTGCTGTATAAACCCCTGAACCCGAAGAGGCACGAACCCCACCGAAAGACCGTAAACCCTAAACCCTAAACCCTAGACCCCCCCCCCCCCCCGACCCAGACGCGCCTAAGCGCGGTCCAAGGCCATGACCGGCACGCAGGAGCTCGAGAGCCTCCTCACGTTTTAAGGGTTTATAGGGTTTATAGGGTTTAGGGTTTAGGATTCAGGGTTTAGGGTTTAGGGTTTAGGATTCAGGGTTTAGGGTTCAGGGTTTAGGATACAGGGTTTAGGCTTGAGAGTTTATACTCAAGTCTGCAAAGGAACAAGTTCAGGTGTTCAAGGGGTTCAGGGTGTGCCGAGGCTCATTTTGGAGTTGTTGCCTATTTCTACAGGGGGAAGGTTGAGGGCTCAAAGGTGTTTTTAGGTGTACAGAGATCATGTTGGTTGGGATGTTCCCCCTTATCCTAACAGTCCTTAATAGGGAAAAGGGGTACTAGAATCCCTATTAGGGACTGTCAATGAAAGGGTGAACATCCTCAATGTTGGGGTTTAAGGCTAAATCTACACAGACAAGGTTGAGAGTTTATTGGGGTTTTAGGGTTTCATTACAGGGTCCTTAAGGGAGGGGGGTTCATGGGGGGTAGGTACCTATGGAACCTTAGGGAAGTTTTGGGAGCCTGAGGGAGTAGCGGGGAGTACTAGGCCCTTTGAAGCCCCCTCCCTGAAGAACCCTAATAAGTTTCAGAGCTCCGGAAAAAAAAAAAAAAAAAAAAAACGTCGTTGGTTTGGGCTCCGGCTCTCCAATTCAGGGTTTTGGGGCCTCTAAGTCTTTAAGTTCTCAGGATTCTAAGTTCTGAGGGACGTTGAGGGTTTAGGGTTTTGGGGGTTTAGGGTTTAGGGTTGAGGGGTTAGGGTTTAGGGGTACAAAGCATCAGCAATGACAGCGTCCATGCCAGGCTCCGATACGGTATCAACGCGTGCCCTCGACCGTGCAGCTTGCAGCAGCCGAACGTGGCCCAGAACTGCTATACTCCCCTTAGGACCTTAATAACAACGACATGTTTAATATCCTCTTGGGTTTTAAATGAACAAAAATAAAAAAATAATTCCCAAGGGGGATACAGACTCAGCACCCAGCGATGTTGCCACCCTAAACCCTAAACACCTGGTGTTTTTCGAGCGAGGCAAAGGACCGTACCATGCTTGCCCTTGAATCACACCTCGCTGTAGATGACAGCCTTGACTCTCAGGTTCATGAAACATCCCAGACAGAGATTCCACGATGCCAGAATTAGGGGATATGGGGGGGGGGGTTCCGAACTTAGGGGTACCTTATTCTGGGCCTTCTTATGAGGGAATCCTACTATTTGAGGGCTCTATATTTGGGGTCCCCTATTTTTGAAACTCCCGTATTCCGGAAGTTGCACTGTAGGGATCCTAAACCCTGAAACCTTCAACCTAAGTGAATTCGGGATACTGGAGTCTCTGGAAGCATGTGGGCGCTATGGGGATTGAGTCGGGCTTCGGACGCCGCGAAACGGTTTGGTGTTTCGGACCTAAGACGCCCAAAATCCACGCAGCCCTACACCCAAAACCCTAAACCCTCTAAACCTTAAACCCCAAAGCCCTAAACCTTTCACCTCCCAGGGCTACAGAGCCTTCATGCTCTCCTGCATGGGGCTGCTGTAGCCGGAAAGATGTTGCGCCCCTGTGGTGCCCTCCTGTGGTTTCTGGCTACAGGTCTAAGGTTTGGGTTTGGGGTTTAGGGTTAGGGTGTAGGGTTTAGGGTTTAGGGTTTAGGGTTTCAGGTTGAAATAGCAAACTTTGGGATTTCCACAGCCCTGACACATATGGGCAGTGTTAGGACTTTCGTGCTACCTACACGCTCCTCAAACTTCTGTACAGCTGATCAGACGCACAACAAATCCAAACTCACGCGTACTCGCCTTAAACAACCCATGGCTCGGCACTTACATATCCGCGCAAAACCGTGACCCCTCGCCCTTCAAAAGGAATTACAAGCCCTCAAAACACAGCTGGGCTCACGGCTTAATCGCAGAGGCCCATCCCCAAACGAGTCCCCAGGCCGCTCATGAGTGGTGAGTGAGTGAGCTGCCAACTGGGTGGGTAGTTGGTGGCCATGCCTTAGGCGCTCTCCAGCCTTCCCGGGGGGCTCCGATACGTCATTGCCCCCTCCGGTTGAAGTTCAGGCTATATAAAACATGTCAAGGTGGGCATGCTCGATGTAATCAGATGTCGGGCTGTTCTGACGTTTCCTGATTCTCTCCATCACTCTCTTGCTCTCTCTCTCTCTCTCTCATGTTTCTCTCTCGCTCGCTCCCTGTCTCCCTCTCTCTCTCTCTCTCTTTCTCTCTGCCCTCGACAAGTCTCCAGACTCCAAACATTCCAAACATTCAAACGAAAAGGTTGAAGGACGTTGGGGTGGGAAGGGATTACAGATCCCAAACGAAAAGCTCCCTAAACCCTCAACCCTCAACCCTAAACCTTAAACCCTACACTACACCGTAAACCCTAAACCCTAAACCCTAAACCCTAAACCCGAAACCCGAAACCCTAAACCCTAAACCCTAAACCCTAAACCCAACTCCGCTCCTCCCCTCGCAGCACCGGAGCCGGCCCGCCAAGGAAAGGAGAAGGGGCACCTCTGCTGTGGAGGGGCTTAAGGGCTCAGGGCTATTCGGGTTCACGGTTCAGGGTTTAGGGTTTAGGGATTGGGGTTTAGGGTTTAGGGTTCAGGGTTTAGGGTTTAGGGATTAGGGTTTAGGGTTTAGGGTTCCGGATTGGGGTTTGAGGGTTTAGGGGCGTAGGGGCTTAGGGCAGTCTGTCTTCTTGACCGCAGTCAAATACTGAAGATGCGGTTTAGGGTTTAGGGTTGGGTTTAGGGTTAGGGTTTAGGGTTCAGGGTTCAGGGTTTAGGGTTTAGGGTTTAGGGTTCAGGGTCTGGGTTTAGGGTTTAGGGTTTGGGGTTTGGGGTTTAGGGTTTAGGGTTTCGGATTTGGGGTTTAGGGTTTGGGGTTTAGGGTTTAGGGTTTAGGGTTTAGGGTGTAGGGCTTAGGGTGCCGGAGTAGCCACGACCCACCGGGTCGTACCCAGAGACTCCAAAACCCCTTCATTAAGGAATGTACCCGTTTAGGGTTTAGGGTTTAGGGTTGAGGGTTTCGGAATATAACCTGAATCATATCAGGGTTCCTTTTATGATGATATTCCTTAATTAAGGGGTGTTTGGAGTCTCTGGGTACCCACTTCAATGAAGGCGGCCATCTGACGGGGAGGTCGGAGAGTGCACACTTTCACTGGAGGCGTCGCGATGACTGAACCTGATACGGCCTCAACCCTAAACACTAAACCCTAAAACCCTAAACCCTGAAAACCCTGAAACCCCAAACACTAAACTCAATCAGTTGAGCACAGAGTCCTTCCTCCTGAGTTTATGAGTACATATTCTTGCCGAACCAGGCATCCTAGGGTTTAGGGTTTTGGGTTTAGGGTTTAGGGTGATTGTAATTTCTGTAGGGGCCCATTGAGCCTAAAGGACCTTCTTCAGGACCCTGACTTTTCTTGGATTCCTCATTTTCTTCTTCCATTTTGCGAACATAAAGCAAGGTACAACCAAAAACGTACAGTAATCAAGGGCTTAGGTGGATGCTGGAAGCACTGTAGCCATAAACAGCCCACCACCTTAAACAAGCATAGAATAACAATAATAAAAATATGATGTTAATAATAATGATGATGATGATATCAATAAATTTAAATCCAAGGCCACCCAAAGATAGAACTGACTGAGGCCCTACCTGGAGTAACCCAAATACTCTTGCAAAAGGATGCGTACCTTGACTATTGGTACTTGTATATTCTCTTGCAACAAGTATAAAGGTTTCTTTAGGCAAACACGAAGCACGCAACCAGTTTGCCTGGCGGGCCCTTGAAAACAAGGGGACAACGGTAGAAGCTATACCATCCTAAGAGCATGTCCCAATTATAAGCCCTAAAGCCTAAATCCTAAACCCTAAACCCTGAACCCTAAACCCTGAAACCTTAAACCCAAAAAAACCTACACCTGAGAAGCAGGCGCTCCCCAAAGGACGCCTCGGTCGCCACGATGCTGGCCTGCCATTGGGGACTTAGCCAAAGGCTTTTGGGGTCATCGTGAAGGTTTAGGGTTTAGGGTTTAGGGTTTAGGCTATAGGGGTCCATGGCTAGTTATGACTTGGGTCTAGAGTCTAGGGTTTCGGGCGTGGTTGTGATTGGGGTTACAAATGTGACAGCTTTCGCTATGGCCGCTTCCAAGCCTAATTCGGTAAGGAAGTAAAAACTTAAACAATGATATTGCTGACGGTCCCGGCAAACCTGACAACCTCTGACACACACCCGAAACCCTAGGCCGAAACCATGAACCCCAGCCCGAAACCCTAAACCCTAAACCCTAAGCCCTAAGCTCTAAGCCCTAACGCACACAGACGCACACACCCAAACACCCAAACACCCAAACACCCATACACCCATACACCCAAACACCCTAACACCACACAGACCCAGAATGGCGCACTCACATCCTTTACCCCAGCCCTCTCTGAGCGTCCCGGCCGCAGGGGTGGCTGCACAGAATCCCGGTGGTGCAACCTCTTCGACAGCCTTGCATCCCACAGAAGACCCCAGAACTATGAAGGGTTTAGGGTTTAGGGTTTCGGGTTTAGGGTTTAGGGTCTACTCTACACTCCAAACCCGAAAGCCTGCTGCTGAACAACCGAAAGCCGGAGAAGGCCCATAGAAGTATACACTAGACAGGTGCATGGACCCTCAGAATATAAACAAGGCACGCATACTTTCGCAAGACTTCTAACACACGAAACTGCAAACCCAAAACCCTTGGGTTTAGGGTTTAGGGTTTAGGGTTTAGGGTTTAGGGTTTAGGGTTTAGGGCTTAACGCCAAATTCGGAAGCCACACTTGACAAGTGGCTCGGTCCATCAGCGAGCTTACCGTGGCGCGGCGCACAGCTGATAGAGACCTGAAGATGGAACTCCCCGAAGCCCGGGCAACCTCTATGGGTTTAGGGTTTAGGGTTTAGGGTTTGGGGTTTAGGGTTTAGGGTTTGGGGTTTAGGGTTTGGGGTTACCATATTGGGGTTTGCCTTACGGCAAAGGGTTAAAGGTTTAGGGTGTGCTCAAAATGGAACTGTACACATGCCCTTTTGCCAAGCGTACACAGGTTCCGCAGGGCCCAGAGTTTAGGGTTCATATGCTTGAGGGCTTCAGGCTTAGGATTTAAGGTCCGTTTGAGGTCCTTTATGTTTTGTGTTTCGTTCTTCTGAGTCTCCCTTCCCAAACCATATACACAGACAAGTCCCTTGAAGTTTTTGGGAAACTCAACAGCCTTGTTTCCAGCTACCGGAGGCACGTATATTCTTGGCACGTGGGTCAAGCCTGCTTGAAGGCTGCAGGCGTATTGCGAATAAGGACCCTGGCTTGAAATGGCTAAACCCAAGAAGCAAAACCCTAGACTTGGGATGTTGCGCCTTATACTAACAGTCCTTTAGGGATTCTCATCGGGCCAACCTAAACCCTAAACCCGACCCCAACACGGAAGCTACAAAACACAGCTCTGGAACCCCCAAACCCTAAATCCTAAACCCTAAACCCAAAACCCTAAACCCTAAACCCTAAACACAAGCGAAGCGCTGCGGCGACTCGTCGACGGTGTACTGAGTGGTGGGAACCTGAAAAGCGATGAGCTCAACGAACGGTTTGAGGTTTAGGGTTTAGGGTTTAGGGTTTAGGGTTTAGGGTTTAGGGTTTAGGGTTTAGGGTTTAGGGTTTAGGGTTGTTCCCCCTTATACTAACAGTCCTTAGTGGGGATTATAGTACCCCCCCGATTGTAATCCCTATTAAGGACTGTTAGTACAGGGGGGGAACATCCCAAGGCTTGAGGTTTAGGCTTTGGGGTCGAGAGGTTCAGGAGATGGGTGATCTGACCTGGAACCAAATACACCTTAAACCAGCAAAAACAAGTTTACAACCCTTCGACCCTTAAAACCCTTAAACCCTGAAAACCCTTAAGCCCTTAAACCCTGAAAGCCCTTAAATTCTTAAACCCCTTACAGCCCTTAAAGCCCTTCTTTCCCTTAAACCCTTACAACCCTTAAAAACCCAAGCCCTCAGACCCCTTAAACCCTTTAAAACCCTTAAAACCCTTAAATCCCTTAAGACCCTTAAAACCCTTAAAGGCGATTGTCTTAGGTGGCCCCAGTCACCTTATTATTGCGTGAACGTGTGAACGAGCGTAGTGCGGGCTTATAATAAATCTCTTGTTCGCCCGCATTAATAATAAAACTACTGTATTTCTCTTCTCCGGGCATATTAAGAGAATACGTGAGGCCCGGATATTCAATTAATAATAGTGAGCTTGCGAACCGCGTAAACGAGAAAACGAAATTAAATTATAAGTGAAGCGCATGAATTTAATGAGAGAACGAGTGAGCGCCCAACATCAGGTTCTCCAGCTATAACCGTGTAACACCTTGGAATCATGACCATTGAGCCCTTAGTATTATAGCTGGTTAACCTTCCCAAAAGCCCTTAATTTTAATATTAAATGTAATGGTAAGGACGCAAGGACGCACGCATTCCATTTTGAATATAAAATTTAGGTCTTTCGCCCACAGTTCTAGACCCTTGGATTCATCACCCAGTTCTTTCTAGCGGTTACAAATGATTTCCTCTTCCAAAATCCTGTCTCACTGCGTTCATATTTTAATGGGAATTGTCTTGGGTAGCCCAGTCACCATCTTCTAATAAGGGCACCCTTTTGTCGCGCGGCTACCTTATATCAAGAGACTAAAGGAGGGACCCTTACAAGGGACCTTAGGGGGTGTTTAGGGGCTACTTAGGTATATAGAGGCTACATAAGGTTTATAGAGGGGTTATATAGGGGAATAAGATCAAGGGTCCCTTGTAGGGGTCCCTCCTTATACCCCTTAATTATAAGGGAACCTCGAAGCCAACAATGAAAATCAAAGGCCCCCAATGGGCTACCAGGTTGTCTCAGAAGCCTAGTATTAAAACGGGTTTGCCCTTTTTTGCTTAACAGGGGTTCATAAGGGAACCTAAGCCCCCCCCCCCCCCCCCCCCCCCCAAAAAAAAAAAAATAAATAATAATAATAATAGTAATAATAATGAAATCAAAAAAAAAAAGGGAATAAGGGCACCACTGGGCATCCTAGGTTAAGGTTTGCATAGCCTGAGAAGGGCCTTTGCGGCTTCAGCGGCTTAGGGAGTTCGGGGCCTCAGCTTCTCCTCTCGGCCCTGAAACTAAACCCCTAAACCCCTAAACCCCCAAACCCTTAAACCCCTAAACCCGAAAACCCCAAAACCCCCGAAACCCCCAACCCCAAAACCCCTAATCCCAAAACCCTTGAACCCCTACCCCTAAACCTCAAAACCCCAAAACACAAAAAACCCAAAACCCTAAACCCCTAAACCCCTAAACCCCTACACCCTGAAACCCCTAAACTATAAACCCCTAAGCCCCAAAACCCTGCACCCTAAACCACCCTAAACCCTACACCCTAAACTCTAAACCCCTAAGCCCCTAAACCCGTAAACCCCTAAACCCCTAAACCCCTAAACCCCCCCTAAACCCCTAAACCCCTAAATCCCTAAACCCCTAACACCCCTAAACCCCTAAACCCCTAAACCCCTAAACCCTAAACCCCTAAACCCCTAAACCCCTAAACCCCTAAACCCCTAAACCCCTAAACCCCTAAACCCCTAAACCCCTAAACCCCTAAACCCCTAAACCCCTAAACCCCTAAACCCCTAAACCCCTAAACCCCTAAACCCCTAAACCCTAAACCCCAAACCCCAAACCCTAAACCCTGCACCCCAAACCCCAAACCCCAAACCCTAAACCCTAAACCCAAAGAAGGACAGACAGGCCGTCGGGCCAAGGCGCTCCCGACTGCAGCTGCCCAACATTGGGCGGACCGGCCTTCCTCCCAAGACTAGGGTTTAGGGTTTAGGGTTTAAGGTTTAGGGTTTCGGGTTTAGGGTTTAGGGTTTAGGGTCTAGGGTTTAGGGTTTAGGGTTTTTGTTTTTTCTAGAGTTTTGGGTTTAGGGGTGATTTTTGCGTGCCCCAGGCGGCTTGGATTTAGGAACTAGCGTGGGGCTTCGGCGCGACCGGCCACTGGGCGGGGCCTAAACGCCTGGGTTCTAGCACGGCCCTTAAGACCCACTGAAAAATATTCCTATAGATGATGCTGTTAAAAAACCAAGAAGGGAACGTGGAAAGAGTTTTTTAAATAAAACAACTAATATCATCCTATTCAAACCCAATAATTGTATTGAATAAGGATATGGAAACATATCCCAAAAGCCTACCTTGGTTAGGATTCGGCAACAAGGGAGCTGCCTTGGGATCCGTCGACCTCTGAGCCCTTGCCACAAACCCCTGAAGCATTCAACTCGCAATGGGTGTCAGGGGTGCAGGGGTTTCGGGTCTAGGGCACCCCTCCCCGCCCCAACCCCCCCCCCCCCCCAACCCCGCCCCAACCCCGCCCCAACCCCGCCCCACCCCCCCCACCCCCCCCCACCCCCCCCACCCCTCGCCTCCCCCCCACGAAAACCACCCCACACCCTAACGCCAAACACCAAATCCTTACCCCCCCCCCCCCCCCCCCAACAAGCCACAGCCCGAGTCTGACCAGTTGGGGTTAAGCAAGTGTTCCAAGTTGCCACTTAGTAGCGGCTGTCAGAGCCACAGTCAGCCATCCCGACTGTGAAAATCACCACCTGCACTTCCTGGCCTCAGAAAAGCAGGGAGTTCGCTGCGGGGTGAGGCTCCCCTTCTTCGTTGTCGAGGACGGCCCGGACGTACTGCTCTCCCCCCGTTTCCTTCAGGAACAGGGGGCCCCTCCACGATCACCCCATCTCGCTTGAAAAGGCCGCCAATGTTCAGCGTCACGAAATTTTCAGGCAGGCCTTCCCGAAATTCCTCGCGTTCAGGATCTCCACGCTGTACGCCCTAAACCCTAAACCGTAAACCCTAAACCCTTAACCCTAAACCCGAAACCCTTAACCCTAAACCCTAAACCCTAAGCCCTAAGCCCTAAGCCCTAAAGTTACTATATAGGAACCCCTTTAAGGCCTAAGTATATACTATATGGGTACATGGATCCTTAGGGCCAGGTCTAGAGCTTCGTCCAGTTTATAGTCTCGGGCCACTTTGGGAATACGCTTCGACATCAGGAACCCAGAAGCCAAGGAGGAACAAAAACAAACAACAGACCTACTGAACAACATGGATAGGGACCCGAAACCCGAAACCCGAAACCCGAAACCCTAAACCCTAAACCCTAAACCCTAAACCCTAAACCCTAACCCTAAACCCTAAACCTCCCTAAACCCCAAGTCCCGAACCCCCAAAACCCTCAAAGCCTAGATCCCAAGTCCCCCAACCCCCAAGTCGCCTGAACCCCACGCCCCAAGTAACCCCAAGCCCCAAGACCAACCCTAAACCCGTTTAGGGTTTAGGGTTTAGGGTTTAGGGTTTAGGGTTTAGGGTTTAGGGTTAAACCCCAAAAGCCCTAAACCCCTAACCCCCTCATCCCACAGAAAATCAAGCACTGGGCGAGGGTCGCCTGCAAACATTTTCGACCAAGCGCATGACCTTGAAAACAGTTTAGGGTCTTAAAGGGGTTTTAGGGTTTTCAGGTTTTTTAGGGTTTTAAGGGGGTTTTAGGGTTTTCAGGGTGTTTGAGTTTTGCGGGGTTTTAAGGGGCTTTTGGGTCAGGCGTTCAGGGTTTAGGTTCACGTTGTAAGGGGTTGAACCTAGGAAGGTTCGAGCTCATTGCTTGAAGGCATCGAGGTTATAAGGGCTTAGGGGTTTTAGGTCCTACAAACCCGAAACCCTAAACCCTAAACCCTAAACCCTAAACCCTAAACGGGGTTTGAGGGATTAAAGGATGGATGGATTCAGCCTTCAAAGGGTTCAAGGCCTCAGTGCTACGCCGCCAACCCTCACTCCGACAATGGCTCTTGCCTTAGGCCACTTGCTCCAAGTTGCGAAAGTTTTCTAGCTTTCTATCGATGTGTCCAGAACTTCCCGAACACAGACTGCCGGTCAACACCATGCCCAAAAAAACAACACGAATACTTTGTTCAATGGTACAACGCGCTATTCTACGTAAGCCCCAGATGCCGGTGGAGCAATCCACGGGAGGATCTGCAAGAACAAAACTTGGCCATTACAGCCCACTGGGAAACTACTCGGGGTTCCTAAAACCCCAAACTCTAAATCCTTCATCCCTCCGTAAAACCCTCTGGAAGTGAATTGACTGCACTTCACACCAGGTCCCGCAACATAGAGATGCGTATCGCCATCGGAGGAGGACATCTGCAAGCAGACTCTTAGTCGGGCTTAGGGCTTGCAGTTTAGGGCTTAAAGTTTTTAAGTGGCATAGCTTGACAAGGATCTCAAGCTTTGGCGAAGCCTTTGCGATTCAGAGGCTTTTGGGATGCCTTTTGGTGGAGAGGGGGCAGGAACGTGAGACGCGTCTCGGACTTTACGATCGGGCTTGTGGCCTTCTGGGGCATAGGTCCTAAGTTCAAAAAATCGCTTCGTACGCAGCTGTAAAGCTCAGTGCCCGAACCTCGGTACTCTGTGTAGTCTCTATCCTGTAAACAGATGCCCAAACCACTAAACCCCTAAGCCCTAAACCTAAAGCCCTAAACCCTAAGGATCCATGTACCCATATAGTATATACTTAGGCCTTAAAGGGGTTCCTATATAGTAGCTTTAGGGCCCAAATATATACTATATAGGTACATGGATCCTTTGGGTAAACCCTAAACTGTTGGCATGCTCTGGAGCCCTTTAAATTAAGGTTTAAGGTTTAGGGTTTAGGGTTTAGGGTTTAGGGTTAGGGTTTGGGGTTTAGGGTTTAGGGTCTACTTTGGCTTCAACCTGCGATGGGCGGTACGATGCCGCACGGGCGGGGGCCCAAACCCTACAGGTCGACTCGATCAACCGAACTCCCATGTGGGGGTTTCCGAAAATAGGGGTTTGGGGGTTTAGGGTTTAGGGTTTAGGGTTTAGGTTTTAGGGTTTCCGACATTAAAGGGGGTACCTTATTGGGGTCCTTGTTATGAGGGGATCCTACCACGTGGGGTCTAAACTAAGGGGTCCCCTGTTTTCGTAAACCCCCATGCTGAAGAGTCAACGCTCGGCTTCGATTGAGGACCCTTTACAGAATCTATAGAAAACAAGGCATGTTGCGTTATAGGGTTTAGGGTTTAGGGTTTAGGGTTTAGGGTTTAGGGTTTAGGGTTTAGGGTTTAGGGCCCTAAAGCTACAGCGTTACCCATGCAATCCCAAGCAACCTCCTGCACAAGGCCCGTTAGGGTACCCCAACAGGGATCGTATGTACAGTTTAGGGCTTAGGGTATAGGGCTTGGGGAATTTAAGTGCCAAGCCTGTACCACCTGAAGCCTTACCCTGGCCGTATACCCTAAACCCTAAACCCTAAACCCTAAACCCTAAACCCTAAACCCTAAACCCTAAACCCTAAACCCCATGCCTCTGCGGACTTCTTGCAGACTCGCACGTAGACTTGGCTGAGTAGGCAGCCTGTGCTCAGATCGTCGACCCCTATGAGCACACAGAATCAAAAAGTTCACGCCAACTCCTCAAAGCCAAAGCCCAACCCCTAAACCCTAAACCCTAAACCCTAAACCTTAAACCCTAAACCCTAAACCCTATAGACCCTAAACCCTAAAACGCGAAACCCTCTGTGCTTCAACCTAGATTGTCCAGCAACCACAGGGAATAAGCATCTACGATTTAGGGTTGAGTATACTGTAGAAGCACCCAGAGCCCAAAGAAGCTTCAACAACCCCTACTGAGGTTCATGGGTTTAGGGTTTAGGGTGTAGGCTAAACAAGGTTCCAAATGCAGTTGCCACACGTATCACTACTTAGAACGACCAAGTAGGGCTAGCGCCCAAAGCGCTCAACAGCCACGCAGCGCTACCCCCCCCCCCCTGCCCCCAAGGGCAACCCTGAAGATGTCCAAAGCTTGAAACCTCCAAACACCCTAGGGTTGAGGGTCTAGGGTTTAGGGTTTAGGGTTTAGGGTTCAGGGGTACTCTTCAAGGGTTCCGCTGGGAAGGCCAAGTGGCGAGCTGACTGCTGCCGATCGACCGAGGCCGTTGCTGCCTGACAAAGCTGCGGACGCGCCGGATTCTATCTTGGCGTACCCAAAGGCTCCCAATGTAGTTCCTTTTTGGGTTCGTTCTAGGGGATTCTAGTATCCTACCCTGAAAAAGTACTACATAGGAGCCTTTGGGTAGCTTGTTCTCCCCCTTTTTTTGGATTCGGGTTTCCCTTATTGGGGTTTAGGGTTTAGGGTTGGGGGCTTATCTCGCCCTTTTTTGGATTCAGGTTCCCTTATTGGGGTTTAGGGTGTAGGGTTTAGGGTTTAGGGTTACTGGCTGCCCAACCCGAAACAGTATTGAGTCCCTAATCCTTCCAAGGGTCGGCACATGGCCCCTTAATATGGGCAATTTAAAAGGGTACACCTCATATACCCCTTATTGAACCTGTACAAAACTTGGTAGCCCAGTAACCATATGAAAATAAGGGCACCCTTTTTTGGATTGGGTTATTTTATAAGGGAACCCATAACCAAAAAAGAGGGTAAAGGGTACCACTGGGCTACCAAGCAGATATGGCCCATACTTCAGAACCCTTTAATAGAGGTTAGGGACCATGTCGAGGTTCGCCGTTTCGGGTTTTAGGGTTAGGGTTTAGGGTTTAGGGTTTAGGGTTTAGGGTTTAGGGTTTAGGGTTTAGGGTTTAGGGTTTAGGGCTTAGGGTGACCCAAGAGTATCCTAGGTTTAAAAACCGGGCACTGGCGTAAAGGGGCTTACAAGCGAACCCTAACCCGAATCGGGTTTCGGGTTTCAGGTTTGAGGTGCAAGTATATACCCTAAACCCTAAACCCTGAACCCCAAACCCTGAACCCTAAACTTGTGGAATCACGCTGACAGTTGAGGGAGTAGTAGGGTGTCGGTGTGAAAATTCGGGCCTGGGGCTCATCCTACAGCCCTCATAAGAGCGCGCGCTGGAAATCCCCAACCTGCTCCCTCTGGCAGGGTGTGGGGTTTAGGGTTTCGGGAACAGGGTCTTGTTTGTGATCAGGCGTTAAACCACTTTGTCCATAAGGTTCGAGGTGCTCTTGTTCTGGGGCCTCAGGAAAGTCTAGTAAGGTTGTTGGGGATTGAGGATGCAGTGAGGGTTGTCGGGACTTGCAATCCAGAGCATGGGGAGGTAGAGGCTATGTTGCTGGGTCTAAACCCTAAACCCTAAACCCTAAACCCTAAACCCTAAACCCTAAACCCTAAACCCTAAACCCTAAACCCTAAACCCTAAACCCTAAACCCTAAACCTAACTAAAATCAGCTGTCGGCCTGGCCCTGCGCCGAACCTCAGCAACGAACCCAAATTAATCAGGAGCTTTAGGACTGTACCTTTCTAGGGGTTTAGGGTCGAGGGTCTAGGGTCTAGGGTTTAGGGTGTAGGGTTTAGGGTTTAGGGTTCTACCTTGGACCCTTGGGTTTTGGGGTCTCTGTTTAAAGGATCCCTAAGGGAATACAAGGGCCATATTAGGAGTATATCAAGGGGCCCCTTTAGGGGCACAAGGGTACGAGTCTGAATCTCTTGAACCTTGGGTAACCAACATACCAGCAAAAAGGGCAAACATGTCATAACTTAAGGTTTGCATCTCTCTGTCAGCCCTGGAGAAATACGATTGACGTTGAACCCAACCCCTAACCCTCAACACCAAACCTAAACCCTAAACCCTAAACCCTAAACCCTAAACCCTAAACCCTAAACCCTAAACCCTAAACCCTAAACCCTAAACCCTAAACCCTAAACCCTAAACCCTATACACTAAACCCTAACCCTAAACCCTACCCCCCCCCCCCCCCCCCCGCCCGGGCTCTCTGGGTCTTAGGGCGGTGTGTCTAAACCCTAAGGATCCATGTACCCATATAGTATCTATCAAGGCCTTAAAGGGGTTCCTATATAGTAGCTTTAGGGCCCACATATATCCTACATAGGTACATGGATCCTTTGGGAAAGGGCGTTTTTCTTTTTGTGGTTCTCATGGCCATGCTGCGCAAGGCCCCACGAACCTTGAGTTGAAATCTTTTTAAAGCAGCCGAAGGGTCCATATACCTCATTATTGTCTAGGAAGGCCCCTAAAACCCTCTGAAAAATATTCCTGAATATGATGCTCTTAAACCCAAAATAAGGGAAAATATAAAATGCCCCAAGGGCCTACCTAGTTGTATACCTTGGGCCTTAAAGTACTTCCTATGTGACTTTGGGGCCCAAGTATGTAACATATGAGGTACATGGACCCTTAGGGGCAGTATTGGGTTCAGGGTTCAGGGTTCTGGGTCTGCATGGAAGAAGGGAGGTTCCCCAGATGAGATACAACAGAAATCAGTCATGCAAAGAGGCATCGAGCACTCCATCCCCCGGGGCCTAGAACCTACTTCACTCGGATGGCCCTTCAAACCCTCTGAAACATATTCCTGAGTATGAACCTCTTGAACCCAAGAAGGGAAAATATAGAATGTCCCCAGGGCCTACCACCTAAACCCTAAACCCTAAACTGTCCCAAGGGCCTACCTAGTTCAGGTAGCAAGAAGCGGACGCCAGGCGCCCCCCCAGTCGGTCTTCAAAATGAGGTTTAGGGCGTAGTTAGTGTTTAGAAGTTCTACAGGACATTTTTGGGCTTTTCGGTTCTTTTTGGGTAATGTTAGGGCTTTTAGGGGTTTTTGGGTCTTCAGGGCTTTTAGGGTTCTTAGGGCTTTTGGGGTTTTTCGGGCTTTTAGGGTGTTTTGGGGCTTTTAGGGCTTTTAGGGTTTTGAGGCTTTTAGGGTTTTAGGGTTTATTGGCTGGGGCCTCCTTCACACTGAGCACCCGAACCCTGGAGAACCCAAAGCCACAAAAAAGCGAACGCTCTCCGCAAGTGCTGCCGGCCCAACACACAAACCCTAAGCCGAAACGCCAACACCCCTAATTAAAGCCTAAACCCATACAGCCGGAGTATCTTGTGGTGGTTTTACCCGGCTGGAGGATGTCAGTCCGGGTCCCAACCCGAAACCCTAAACCCTAAACCCTAAAACCCAAAATATGAGCCTGAATTTCTGAAACTCCCCAACCCTTTTTGGGATCCTCTTTGCGTGCAGAAACGTGCTCTTTGTGGATTGCAGCCCAAAGCAGTCGAGAGCTTTGGAAATCATAGACAACCATCCAGAACTCACGACCCGGAAAATTAAGTGAAACGCATCGCCTAAAACTTAGCAAGCCACCTGCTAAGCATGTAAGAGGCTTGTGCTACGTCTTGCCGGAACAGAATATAGTCCAACAGTAGGTGCAAAGCCAACATGGCTGCAAAGGCCAGGAGAAAGCCTGGGTGAAGTGTGACTACGAAGCTCTCCAGCAGTCCAATCACGATGGAAGATGCGAGAAAAAACGTGCAGAGGGTGAGCACACCGCTTGCGAAGACAGCTGCGTTGAGCGCATAGGTGTTCTGTATCTTGTCGGCATACCATCTGAGGAGCCATAGGATGCTGGGATGAATCGCAGGATACAGCACAGTCAGCAAGATGGCGTACTGGGAGTAGTTCAGCATGAAAAACTGTGTCAAGGATTCAAACCCCAACTGGTCAAAAATCTGCCGCCCTGTCCACGCAATGGCCGTCAAGCCTTTGCTGTCTTCAGGGTTCAAGCTTTAGGGTTGTCTTGTACTGAGAAGGTTTTACTTCCCCAGAAGGTAGTACCCATAGGTGCCCAAAAAGGCCCTACATCGTATGGTTTCGCGCTATCCCATGCCAGAAGAGTACTACAAATGGACCCTTTGGGCGACTGTGGGTTCTTGCTTGAGAATGCTGCACATAAACCCTAAAGCCTGAGCTAAGATCTCGAAATAAGCCAAAACCCTAAACTGAAGTGACCATGACTGTGGGATCCCAAGGAACAGAGGACTGTTGGCATCCAAGTTAGCACACAGATGCCCCATGGCAAATGTGTCTCAGTGCCCAAGTCTTCGATGACTGCATCTCGCACGGTATAGCGTACGTATTCCTTGCTCGTGTCAAAGCAGGGGGAGTACTGAACACATAACAGCGAGTTGTGTTTAACGCGTCGGAATACCGGCCTGTAGGCTTCAAAACGCAGGGGGCCTGAGGAAGGGTTCGGGCTTTAGCGTGTTTCAAGGCGAGCTCAACACGTCCTTCTTAAGGAACATACCCCGAATGCATAAGGATCCCTATGTCATATGTCTTTTTGGGGCAATGTCCCCCAAATTCATGGATCTTCCATAGCTCAACCGAGACAAAGGTCGTTGAATGCGTCCAGGCATGCTCCCACTTCGGGGAAGCCCAAGACGGAGCGGACGGCCAACCGCGTCGATAGAGACAGCCGCTGCTGCTCCTCTGGCGGGTTCGGCTGGGGTTTTGGGTTTCGTGGGTTCGGCGCGAAATCCCAGACCCCAAAGCCCGCACATTGGACCACTCACCCACCAGAAGTCCCAGCTCCAGCCCTTCCAGGGTTAAGGGTCTAGGGTTTACGGTTAAGGGTTGAGGGTTTAGGGTTTAGGGCTATGAAACTTTCCTTACGATGGTATTCTACTACCCTACAAGACGGTACTCGCAATCAGCGAGAGGGCTTCGGCCTCCAGGTAACAAAGCCCCTAAACCCTAAACCCTCAACCCTCAACCCTAAACCGGGGTTCCGAACTTGTAGCTTTATCCCTTTTTTTCATGAGAGACAGGAACCCAACAGTAGAGTTGTTGCTATAGTGGGAAGGGTGGGTACGCTAAGTATAAATACAAATATATATATATACATATATATATGAATGTATTACTTACTTAGTATTTATGTATTCAGTTTATATTTATCCATTTGGGATACATACATACATACATGCATGCATGCATACATGCATACATGCTTACGTACGTACATACATACATACATACTTACATACATATATATATATATACACATACATATATATAGATATATATAACGACCCGAAGAAACCATCAATCTCAGGAACTGGCCGATGTATTGAAAAGACCCGTGTAGCCCCATATCCTCGGCCCAGCCACTCTGGCTTGGGTTTTGAGGGTGCAGGGTTTAGGGTTTAGGGTTTAGGGTTTAAGGTTTAGGTTTTAGGGTTTAGGGTTTGGGGTTTAGATGTACCTCCATAGTACCTACTCGGGCCTTTTCAGGGGCTGCTGAACAAAGAGGTAGATGTAGGACGTTTTTCTAACAGTCCTTAGTAGGGATCATCATAGATAGGGGGGGGGGGGGGGGGGGGTACTACAATCCCTATTAAGGACTGTTAGTATAAGGGGGGCAACATCCCAATTTATACCCCTCTTGGGCTGCTTGAGCTAGACCCAGGACTAGCCTAGGAATAAACAGGGTAGGTATTGAGGGGATTAAAGGGGAACCCAACTCCAAAAAAGAAAACAAGGGCCTACTCTGGGTCCTAGTTGCACTAAACAAAGCCAAACCCTAAACCCTAAACCCTAAACCTAAATCCTAACCCCTAAACCCTAAACCTAAACCCCGGTCTCCTCACGAGGCTCGGTCGACAGCCTGATTGCAGCATCCTCCGTCCCGTCGAAGAGCTCGGCGACTTGCATTTCGATGACCTGCTACTATTTACTTAAAAACACCCCCCCCCCCAAAAAAAAAAAAAAATATATATATATATATATGTATGAATATGCATAAATATATGTAGATGTATATATATATACGTATAGTTATTCTTCCTTATAAAGGCACTTCTTCTTAAGTTTTTGGGGGGTTCCTATAGGCACATGGCGGCCTCGCGGTCGCCTTGCACGGAACACTTCGCTGCTCGGATGTCGAAGTCTGCCATGTGGAGGAGCATCATCTGGTGCCTTGGTAGCCCTAAACCCTAAACCCTAAACCCTAAACCCTAAACCCTAAACCCTGAACCCTGAACCCCAAACCCTAAACCCTAAACCCCGCCAAAAACAAGGGAAAAAAATGATGCCACTGGGCTGCCATGGTGCCCTCGGAGCTTCTTCTGAAAGCCTTCGAGGCTCACGATCAAGCCAGGGATGTAGAACATGGCATAGACCTGGAAGGGGGGTCTTTAGGGCTTAGGGTTAGGGTTTAGGGTTTAGGGTTTAGGGTTTAGGGTTTAGGGTTTAGGGTTTAGGGTTTAGGGTTCAGGGTTCAGGGTTTAGGGTTTAGGGTTTAGGGTTTAGGGTTTAGTTATACTCCCCTCAGAACCTTAATAAAAATAATATGTTTATTATGTTTAACATTCTCTTGGGTTGTATATAAAAAACTAAAACTGATCCCCAAGGGGGATATAGTTGTAGGAAAGGGCCACGACAACTTCACAACGGGGGGGGGGGG